TGCTCATCTCCGACACCTACCACCGCTCGGTGAAGTACATTCAGGTAGGAGGGGAGAATTTTTTTTGTCTTTTGTTTTTGTTTTTAACCTTTTTTTTCACCCACACCTTTTCTCTCTCAGTCTCTGGCCGCCGGCATTCCCATCTACTCACACCTCTGGATCATCGACAGCTGCAAGGCCGGTCGGCTGATCGGTGACCGTGACGCCTACCTCCTGCCCGCCGGCTTCAGCATCATCACGCATTCCATCTCGGCTGATAAGTAAGTGTGTGTCCGGGTGATACAGCTGAGGAGGATGAACCAGTATTTGGAACTTCTCTTTTTCCCCTCCATTTAGAAACACGTTCAAGAAGAGCGCCATCCTCTTTCGCGGCATGAAGTTCTACTTTGGCTCGAGGATGGCCGCCAGCCTGGAGAAGCTCTGGTCGCCGGTGCTGACCGCAGCACAGTCGATCATTGTGAAGCAGGACGAGGAGATGCACAAGAACATGAGCCGTAAGTGGTGATTGGGCAATTTTTATGATAAACTCCCTCTTCTAATTTCACCCCTCTCTGAATAGGAAAAATCGTCGACATCATCATCGGCGACGCCACCTGCAGGGAGGAGCTGGTGACGCGAGCGAAGTGCCAACGCGTGCCCCTGGTCACCAGCGAGTACATCGTCCAGTGTCTGATCAATGGGCGGAAGTTGCCCTTTGAGTCGGCGAAGTGCTTCCACTACGACCACACCTGCACCAGCCTCTGTGAGCCCCAGTGAGGAGGGCTCCAACTACCACATCAACACACCCACCCCAACAAACAAACTTTGCCTCTCCACTTTCATTCTGGTCCACTTTCGAGTCTTCTCTTCTATTTCTACTTCTACACCTTCCACTTTTATCGTCTCGCAACTATCTTCTCATCTCCTTTCAGTCATTCTCTCTTTTCATTTCGACTGTGTTCGACGCCACGTCACATCTTCTCTTTTCCAATCTCCAAACTTTCAACAGTGCTGCTGTTTGCTCAGCACACCCAAGTCACACGCCCACATGGAGCACTTTCATTTCATACTTTACACACACCTTCACGCCACGCCACCTCTTTTGTTAGGACTGGTGATTTCCTTATTTTTTACCCTTTACTTTCTCTCTCTCTCTCTTAGTTTTGTCACTGTTTTTACGTTTCCCACCACCTTCACACGTCTTCTACGACGACCACGATGACCACGACCACCACACCCACTACTTTCAACCTCTACTTTCGCTTCTTCTGTCACAACTTTTCTTTACAGTTTTTTCAGTTTTGCATTTCACCGAACGAACGAACGACCACCACCACCGCGAAACACCACACAAGGGTCATTATGGACCCACGGCAATTTTCCCTTTCCTCTTTTCATTTTCACCTCATTTTCTGCTTCTCTTTTGACCCTTATGTAATAAAAACTGTTACCACTCTTTTGGAAGCTTTATTTTTCGTCTACCTGAGAGGTTGGCTTTGCTGCTGCCTCTACAGCCGAAGAAGAAGAAAATGTGGTCAGACTGGTCTCTCTCACTCTTTTCAGTCAGGTCAAACGCTGACTGTCTGCTGCTGTTGTCTTCTGCACTCGGACATTATCTGATGATCAGGAGAGACGATCGTCAATGTGTGTGCATGGCGGCAGCAGCAGCAGAAGTAGTAGTCACCAGAGCGAAAGAGGTGCTCAGACTGTCAACAACAGACTTGCAATTTTTCCTGTTTTCTTTCCCGTTACTCGCNTGGCGGCAGCAGCAGCAGAAGTAGTAGTCACCAGAGCGAAAGAGGTGCTCAGACTGTCAACAACAGACTTGCAATTTTTCCTGTTTTCTTTCCCGTTACTCGCTCAGATCGGTTTCAGCTTTAGGGTTTCTTTTTCCCTTCACCATTTTCTTTTTTTTCAGTAGTGATTAGATCGGTGTGCTTTTATCATCATGACCGCCGGCCATGAACTTCAGCCTCAGCATCAACAGGATGGGAAGCTCCTCACCTTCACCGGAAGGGTGGCGGTGATCACCGGCGCGGCGAGAGGCCTCGGACGGGAGTACGCCCTCCTGCTGGCGAGCCGAGGAGCGGCGGTGGTTGGTAGGTGAAGAGATTCTGTGTTCGATTTTCGATTTGCTGTTTCTTCTTCTGTTTTGCTTTTGTTTACCTTTTTATCTTCAAAATTCTCCTCTTCAACAGTGAACGATCTCGGCGGTGGACGAGATGGCAGCGGCGGAGGTAGCGCCGCCGCCGACGAAGTCGTCGCGGAGATCACCCGGGCGGGCGGCGCGGCTGTGGCCGATTACCGTTAGTGAACTTTATTGAAGAGTGTTCTAAATTCACATTCCCTAACTTCTTCTTCTTCTGTTGCCTGGAAGATTCCGTCGAGGAGGGCCACAAGATTGTGCAGACTGCGATTGAGAAGTTTGGTCGCATTGGTAAGATCTTGTTTCTGCTTTTGTTTTTGTCTCTGGCTTGTTTACACTTTTGTTCTTTCTTCACTTCACTTTCCAGACATTCTCATCAACAATGCGGGCATTCTGCGCGACCGCTCGATGATGAAGATCACCGAGGAGGACTGGGGTCTGTTTTGCTTTGATACCTTTTTTTTGCTTCTATTTCATCATCACCCTCATCACCACCACAGATCTCGTCCACCGAGTTCACCTCCGCGGCGCCTTCCTCACCACCCGCGCCGCCTGGCCGCACTTTCGCGATCAGCAGTACGGCCGCATCCTCATGACCTCCTCACCTTCAGGGCTGTACGGCAACTTTGGCCAGGCCAATTACAGCTCCGCGAAGCTAGGCCTCCTCTCGCTGGCGAAGACGCTCGCCGTGGAGGGCGCCAAGTACAACATTCGCGCGAACACCATCATCCCCGTGGCCGCCTCCCGGCTCACCGAAGACCTTCTCCCGGAGGACCTGCTGGAGCTCTTCGCCCCTCGCTACGTCGCCCCCATGGTCGCCCTGCTGGTCCACGAGGCTTGTCCGGCCAACGGCGAGGTCTTCGAGGCGGCCGGCGGCTTCTACGGGCGCTATCAGTGGCAGCGATCCGCTGGGAAGGTCTTCAGCGAGCCGTCCTCGGTGACGCCGGAGGCCATTAGAGACGCCTGGCACGAGGTGGTGGACATCAAACTGGGCAAAGGGTCGAGCAGTCCCAGCTCAATGGCGGAGCACACCTTTAAGCTCATTAGTCAGCTGAGGGGTGAGGAGGTGCCTGAAGCGGAGGGTGAAGAAGTTGGAGATATTATCGTCGAAGACCAGAGAAGATCCTCTTCGGTGGTGGTCTCTGATGAAGGTGATGCTAAAACGCTGCTCACCACGATCACCCCTCAGGATGTCATCCTCTACGCCCTCTCGGTGGGCGTCTCCACCTCTGATCCCTTTCACTTGCAGTACCTCTACGAGGCGGATGAGCACTTTACGGCGTTGCCCACGCTTGCCGCCTCCCTCTCCCTGAATGCCGTCTTTGAGACGAACCTCTTTCAGGAGGCGATCACCCGGTACGGGCTGGAGGATAACTTTATCAAGGTGAGATGATAATTTTTTCCAATTCTTGTTGATAAGTTAGACGGTTCTTGTTTCGATTTTGCCTAGACGCTGCACGGCGAACAGTATCTGAAGCTGCTCAAGCCGATTCCCACTGCCGGGCAGCTGGTCTCTAAGCCGCGCATAGTGGACGTACTGGACAAGGGCTCCGGCGCGCTCATTCTCATTGAAGGTAAGAAAAAAAAGTTGAGTTTTAATCAGTTCTAAAACCTTTCTAATTTAGTTCCAACGTACAACACCGCCGGCGAGCTGCTCTTTCTCAACCAGCTCGCTCTATTTATGATTGGCAGCGGCGGTTTTGAGGGTGGAAAGCGGACCAGCGACTACCCGGGCCTAGTTGAAGCGGTGGAAGTGCCCTCGGATCGACCGCCTGATGCCGTAGTGAGGCAGGTCACCTCGGTGGACCAGGCGGCCACTTTCCGCCTGGTCGGTGACAGCAATCCACTGCACATTGATCCGGCCTTCTCTGTCATTGGCGGTACGTACGTTTGTCAGTTTTTTTTGGTGAGATTTTTGCTGCTGCTGTTTTTCCCAACTGACTACTTTGCCAATTTCCCGCTGCTTTTGTTGCTGTTGCTGCTGCTGCTTACGCTGATTGCACTGATCACTCATCCGCTGCAATTTTTAGAGCCCTTTCTTCTTCTCTAAGAGGATCCGACTACTTCATTACTACTTCGTACCTATTACCTGTTCATTTCCTTTTCTTCCTCATAGCACTCTTGAATAGTTGTGCACTTATCAGCTCCAGCACTGGCAATATTAGAACTGCAACTCTTTACAGCTCTCTCTTTGACGTCAGTGCTTCGCTGTTGAGTTGAGTCTAATTTTGACTAGTGTCGTCAATTTGGGAAGAAAAAGAAGAAAGGAAATAGAAAAGAAAAGGTTGCGATTGGTTGGGATTTTTGTGTGTCATACTTTTGTAGACGGCGCCCGTCGATCCCCCTCTTCACTTTTGTCTCCTTTTCAGTTGTAATGCTAATTGTCCACTTTTCGACGACGACGACCACCTGTTTCCCCTCTTTTTGCCTACTTCTCTCTCTTTCTCCCTTGCCAATCACAACCAGCACAACTACCACCACCATCGAACTAATAGTGCGATGGTGTGTACTTAGCGTCAGGTTGACAGCAACCAAAGCAGTGGCAGCAGTAGCACCGTAATGACACCGATAGAGGGAAACCGGTCAGGCCAACTACTTCTTCTTCTTCAACTGCTGCTGCTGTGCGCTACTGTCCAGGACTACTGCTGAAGAAAAGGCTGTGAAAAAGGCACCAGGCTAATCACCGGGCAATCATATGGGGGCACATCGGCAGCAGCAGCAGCCAAAACAGCAGCAACAGTAAAAGCAGTTATTTTTCTTACTGACTGACTTCTTCTCTTCTTACCTTACCTTCCTCACAGGCTTCGAGCGGCCGATCCTCCACGGCCTCTGTCTGCTGGGCTTTGCCGTGCGAGCGGCGCTACGTGAGTTTGCCGGCGGCAGCAGCGTTGATGCCGAGGTGGAAGCGACGGCGTTCGATGCCGCGAAGGCTCGCTTCACGGGCGCCATCATTCCAGGTCAGACGATCGAAACACGTCTCTGGCGAGGTGGCACCAGTACTACTACCACTACCTCAGGCAGCGACCACCTTACCCGAATCCACTTTGAGTGCTACGCACTGGAGACGGGCAGTCGAATTATCTCCTCGGCATTTGTTGACCTCAAACTGCCGCCGCCACAGTCACCGACGTCGACTTCTCCAACTGCTGCTCCGTTAGCCACCGCTCGTTCAACTCTTCTTGCTCCTGCTTCTTCTTCTTCAGCTGCTGCTCAGTTTGCTCACCACGATTACCAACAGGACAGGCATCTTGATTCAAGGCATTCTACGGCGTTGACGTCGTCTACTTCGATCGCCACCAACGGTGACATCACACCAGTAACTCCAATGGCTCCACAGGCTGTGGTATGTGTTGATAAGTGATTGAGTTTTTTCTTTATCATCAAAATCTGACCTTAGGCATCGAACCCTTCATCACAAAAGGTCAAAATTGACGCCATCTTTGGTGATGGAAAGCTGCGCGAGCAAATTCGCGCCAACCCCTCAGTGGTCGCCTCCATTGCCACTACCTACCAGTTCAATATTAGCCTCAATGGAGCGCCTGTTTCAGTGTGGAGTAAGTGTTACTCTAGGAAAAAAGTTTATCATCTTAATTTTTCCTCAAATGTTTTTAGCCCTCGATCTAAAGAACGCCCCCGGTGACATTTACCGCGGCCCGCTGGAGAAGGGCTCACCAGACTGTGTGCTCACCGTCGAAGATCAGGTCATTGCGGACATCTTCACGGGGAAGGAGGACGCGCTGAAGGTAGAGATGGGAGTTTTGCTTTCAAAGGTCATTTCTTTATTCCCTTCCCTTTCCAGGCCTTCATGAACGGCCACCTCAAGGTGACGGGGAACATTCTGGCGGCCAGCAAGCTGCAGCAGCTCTTTGCCGACAATCTGACGAAGGGGGCCGATGAAGAAGATGAATCTTCCTCTTCAAGTAAATCTCTTGAGGAGGACGAAGCCGCGGACCGGGCCCTGCTCGATTCCGTTCCCATCAGCGGCCTCAAGTCGGACATTGTCTTCACGCTGCTGCGAAACCGGATGCACGAGGAGCCCGATTTTATCCGGCGCATCCGCGCCTCCTACCAGTTCAACATTACACTGAATGGAAAGC